AGGAAGGAAGGAAGGAAGGAAGGAAGGAAGGAAGGAAGGAAGGAAGGTGAAGGAAAGAAGGAAGAGCCATGGTGGTGCAGTGGTTACAATGCAGCATTGCAGGCTAACTCTGCCGAATGCCAGCAGTTCGATCCTGACTGGCTTAAGGTTGGCTCAGTCTTCTATCCTTTCGAGATGGGTAAAATGAGGACCCAGATTGTTGGGGGCAAGAGGCTGACTCTGTAAACCACTTAGATAGGGCTGTAAAGCCCTGTGAAGCGGCATGTAAGTCTTAAATGCTATTGCTATTTGGGAAGAACTTCCTTATTACATGTTCACAGGTATTGTGGGTTTTAAAAATAATATTAGGAAGATGCTAACATACACTTTCCAGTTAATAGGACAATCTTTTAAAAATGTTCCAATTGTTCCTTCATCGTTTTTTTTAAATTAATGAATCAATCAGTGAATACACATACATGTGTATCAACATTATATAGTCAATGGGTCTGACTGAGATCACACAAGCATTCGTTCTGTTGAGATGGATCACGCCTTGAAGACTAAACAGGAAGTTCAGTGGAACTTTTGACCTTTCAGCCAATGCAGGAAATTAATTTGTTATACACACAAATGCCATTGATATCCTACATTCACTGCATTTCTGACCCAATGGAGGAAGACAAAGAGGAAAGCAGGACAGACCGGGCTAAACAACAGAGAACATCTAAGCAAGGTACCCTGAATCTAAAAGTATCTAGAGGGATACTTCTGCAAGAAGATCTTTAAGCGGCGAAGGAGAGAGAAAAGGAGGTTAAAAAACCTTTTTTAACCTTTATATTGACAATTACAAATGGTATGGAAAGAAATTTATATTAATCTATTTTGACACTAATAGGCAACCTTAAGCTGAAATCTAAGTGTCAAAAGTAGAATAAAGATTTTTTCTTGGTCAATTTAAAGCCTTAAAAAGGAGAAGAGTGGAGGCAAAAGGGTGGGACTTGGAATAATGGAAAAATGGAGTGCCACCTGGAAAAATAAAGGGGATTAACAGTGGAACTTTGAAAAGACTCCCGAGGATACATTGTAACTGAAATCTTATTAAAAGATACAGTAACCCACGGAAAGGAAAAGTAAAGGAAAGAAACAAGAAGGAACAGTCTGGGATCATTTGGTGATTAAAAAAAAAAGTTTTTGGCATTGTTTTTTTTTCTTTTTCTGTTTTTACTTAAAGTCAATCCGGTGGTTGTTCAAAAGTGTTTAAAATGCCATCACTCCTGGCGGAATTGAAGATGAGTCTTAAAAAACAGAAAGAAGATGCAGAAAGGGAAGGAAGATCCTTTGGCTTCGTATTTGAATTTTTTGAAATGGAGATCCTGAACTATGAAAAGCAAAAGGAAAGGCTTCAAGAGCAAGAAGAAGGGCGGGACAAAGAAGAAGCCATTTTCAATGATCAAATAATGCAAAGTGTGGTAATAAGGAGGAAAAGGGGGAAAGGAGTTAAAAGTTTGAGATCAAAGGGAACAGCCAAAAAGAAAAATAGTCTGAAAAAGAAGTATAACCGCAAGGAGAAGTGGAAAAGAAAACTACAGAAGGGAAAATTAGAGAGAGAAAGGTATAAAAAAGGGATGAGAAAAAGGGGGGAAAGATAGAAAGGGAAAGAACTTATGAGGGACAAAAACAGGAAATAAAGAAAAAGGGGAAACGTACTAGGATTAAAGGTATTTACTCAGCTAGAAAACACAGAGACAATGGTTAAATTAAGTTAAAAGTGAGGATTCTGCAAAGGTACAAAAGATAGTGTTGTGACAGTAGAATACTGTAATGAGTTAGAAATGAAATAAGTAAATAATCTATGAGATAAAACTGTATTGTTGTGTAATGGTATGTTTATTTATAATTAATGCAATAATAAAGAAGAGAGGGAAACATTGCAATTGTTTCTAAAGATTGATAAAATATTGAAAAGAAATGTGAAAGATTTATAAGGAAATTTGTACCAGTTATTAGAATGAATTTGAATAATTATTTTGCTTATTAATAGTAAATAATTTATAAGATAAAACTGTATGACTATCCAATGGTATGCTTATTAACAGTTAAGTAATAATGAAGGGAGGGAAACATTTCAATTGTTCTCAAAGATTGATAGATATTGAAAAGAAATGTGAAAGATTTACAAGGTTCATACCAGTACTAGAATGATTTTGAATAACTATTTTATTTACTAATGTGTGTGTGTGTGTGTGTGTATATATATATGTATATGTATATGTATATGTATATGTATATGTATATGTATATGTGTATATATATATATATATATATATATATATATATATATATATAT